ACAATATATCCTGATGTGCAGAGACATGTTATGAACATTAGTATTTTGAAGAAGTATTGGTCATTTTCCAGATTCTAATATACTTATTATTCAACTCTGGAGGATCGACAAAGAATATACTTTTCACACAGATGATTTTGTTCCTTACTGACATCTGCCAAGGAGTGCAAGAGCATGTTTGAAAGCCTTATTTTACTTAAAGAGCATTCATAGAGGCTACTATATCTAATTATCCTAGTAAGTGATTGTTTGCAGAGATTAAATGTCTCTTCATGAACAAGTGTGATCTGGTTCATGTTATTTGATTGACATGGGTTAACAAGACATATAAAAGTCGCGCTTAAGTTCCTATACGATCAATGATAGAAATAACTGACCTGGGCCGAGTAACAGGTCTAGCTTTTCTAGATTCTTTAAATAGATAACATAACCCTACTCAAATGGATGTGTATTCTCATGTTTCTGGTCCAGTATGCGATTCCTCAAACGTAGATATGAGACCATACAGAACCTGGCTTAGCGGAAGCATCTAGCTTATCCACCGCTTACCCTTATACCCAGGTGGTGTCTGACTAAACAGATAATTGACAAAGGACCAACTGATCACCAAAACTTCTCGAGATTGAAAAATCTTGTTTGTTGTTCCTTTCATCGGTTAGGAACATTATTATACGTAAGACACAATAGCCAATTGAATCAATTGGAGTGAAGATTACAACTATTTCTAGAAGAGCAGCAAGCATATTTTGCTCCTATGATTAGAAAATATGATATTAAAATTTAGTTCATGTAAAATTTATGAAGTTCTTTGTGACCTAAATATGATAGAAATTCATGCATCTTTGTTAATTGTTAGCATACAATGATACAGATCCTGAAATCCTAGAACACATATTTTATAAAATAAGATAAACATTACAACCACATATAGTGGCTGAATTGTTGTTTGTTGAAAATATCAATTGAATGCAAGGACAGACTGGATAAAGAATGAGACAGAAAGAAATAAGGTCTGGAAGACTAAACGTGGGTAGAGCCCAAACCTTTCTACCACTGCAATGCTGGCATTGCTCCTGAAGTATGTATCTTCTTGCCTCCCTATACAATCCAAAGATTTATTGTTAACTACCGTTTTGATGCAAACATCTACCTTTAGAAAACAGTATCTGTATTTCACTCTGTCAAGCATATTATGTAAATCTGAGATTAAAGAAGACCAATTAAAATAGGAAAAATGAGTTTATAGGATACTTTTCTACAAGAGCTTACCAAAATATGCCCAATAGTAAAATGAATGGCAAATCTGGCATAAGTAACTTATATCATCAGTAAATATTTGGGGATAATGGCAATGATAAGGTAGAAAAACTGAGGGACATAGGGGTGGGTAAGGTATGAATTGAAGTTTTCTCAAGTTTACTAGAAATTTCAGTTGTTAAATGAAAATAGACTATGGAAACTACAATAATGCCAAATTGTGGTCATCATGATGATAAAATTATTTAAACTTACGGTAAGAATATGATCATAAAATTGACCCTACAGACAAAAAGCTTCAATAATTTCCAATTGAAAGTTCATATTGTGTATGTACATTAACAATGAACAGAAGTGAGCACTTGCATTTGAAATAAAATATTCTGCAGAAAAGCTCACAGCAAGAAATTATCAGACTTCTCAGAATAACAAAAAAGTAAAGAATTAAAAAGCATAGCGACCTTTTCCGAAAGGAATTATTGCTCATCTTACCTTGTGGATATGGCGGATATCATAGACGAATTTACCTTTGGCACTTTTGATGTGGCTACAGAAGGAGGGACCAAAACCTGAAGAAATAACAAGAAATTGCAAATTCATGTCAATTATGTGGTAAACGAATAAGGTTGGAATGAGCAACTATTCAGTGTAATAAGTGGGAAATAAGTGAGAGAAAGAAAGAAGTGACTTAGTTAATACAGAAAATAAAATCTACAAAAAGAAAAACTTAGACAGAACAGAGCAAAGGATATAATTTCTGACATTAAAGTACTAATTCAACTAGTACTGCTAAAACCAGTTATCAATATTATTCAATGAAATTCCCTCATTTACGGAATAAAACTTAAAGCCTATCAGTTATCTCTGATTAAATAAGTGACTCTGTCAACACAGAAAATAAAATCTTCACGAAGAAAAACTTAAAGAAAACAAAGCAAAGAATATAATCTTCTGATATTAGAGTACTTATTCAATTATTATTGCTAAAACCAGTTACCAATATTGAAGTATATATCTAGAAATTGTAGAAACATGGCTCCACATACTTCTTCATAAAGCATGCGAATGAAATTCCATTAATGGTCAATGGTATACTCAGGTACAAGTACAACTAAGGTAAGTTAAAAAAAATATCAGACTGCACCTTTTTTCCAATATAGGGTGGGTTTCTCCCACACTCTCCCAATATAGGAAGGAAAGTCCCTCTCAAAAATGTAAGTTGTGGCGTATTGCTCTAACCCTTGGCATGTCAGATTCACATGTCATACCATATCTCCATGATTTTCTCCAGCTCATATGCTCACCTTTAGTCTTTTAGATGGAATAACTTATGAACAGCTTTCCAAGAACAAAATAAACATTATGCTTTTTGGCAGTGTTCATATAGAATTGCATAATAAATGAAGCCTATAGACGCCGTCTCTTTTATGTGTGTGCGCGTGCGCGCGTGTCTGTGTGTGTATTATAATAATAAGTTGTGAAAAAGTTGAATAGTTAGCAAAAAGGAACAAATTTAGACTAAAAGATCTCATATCAGTGTCAATAAATCAAAATAAGTTACTTCTGCAACAAAGAGCTGAAAAGAATCCATAGCCAATCGCTAATTGACATCAGAAGTATGTCGCTAGAAGATTCTACTTTCATCAAAAGTTGAACCACGAAAGAGTTAGACAGAAGAAGATATCATAAAGATGTTGGTATATACTACTTCGAGGACAGAATTCCTATTAGCCTTACAGCCGATGAACTCAGAAAGAAGCTGCTTACGCAGCATCATGAGATCCCAGCTGCTAGGAATTCAAGAGAAATTAGACTCTCCACAGGTAGAATAGAACCTTCTTGGGCAGGAAACAAGAGGAATGTTCAGGAATATATCAGATACTGCAATATATGTCAAAAGAGTAAAGGGAAGAATCTAGGTACACTAGCTTATTGCAGTTTCTACAAATACCTGATCAAATTTGCGTGGATATTACTGTGGCCTTCATAATTAGTCTTCCCATGTGTGAGTATGTATGGTGGTCGATAGATTGTACATGAACAATTCTTTCCTCTACCCCACCCCTAGTCAGCTCAAATGGTGGCACGAGTATTATCGCATGGTGCCCTTAGGTTGCATGGGGGCACCAAAGTTTGTTCAAGTTTATTCTGGGAAGTTCTGTTCAAACTTTAGGGCAATTAGCTTAAGTTCAATATTGCCTACTACACATAAACTTACAGGCAGACTGAGATCACCAACGATGGGCTAGAGGGGTATTTGACGTATTTCTGTTGTCATAAATTGTTGAGTTTGGTGGAGTTCTGGTTTGATGCGACATGCAAATTTAGGCCTTTTCATGAAAGAAACACCATTTATGAAAGCATGGAATTATTCCTCCTGTCTAGTAGTCCTATTTATGACCAAGGCATGTTTCGTCAAACAAACAAAAAAGATAATAACCACCAAATTTTCAGTTAATGTGTAGAGTATTTGATTCATGAAAGATCTAAATATTCTGTAAAATTGAACAATAATAGAAAATGATTTGATGATATGATTTAAACAGCAAGATCCCTGCAACATTACAAATCTAAAATGGAAGGAAAAGAAAGAACACCAAGAAAGGGATGAACAAAAAGTACACCAGCAAAATGAATAGAAATTCCATCTTGAATCAAGTGCTTATAAGTATATGTTAACAACATCGTATTGTTAACGATTTTCATGTCTCAAATAGCCACGTTAAAGATTTTAACAAATCTCTTGATAAATCCTAACTCCTACCAACTCAAACTACAAGCCGAGTTAATGCCAGAATTGAACAAATTAATCATCTAAATTGTATTATTTTCTGATCAAGAAAACCTTTTCATCGCTATAATAAATAACAAAAGAGGACTGCATTAATCAAGAAATAACATCATCATCGATTAAAGTTATCTACCTAATAAACAATTTCGCAGGAAAAAATTTCCATCCAGCCAGATCCCTACATAGTAAAAATCAGAAGATTCCAAACTTATCCTAAAGATCATCCATGGAGGATCTTGCACCCAAAAAAGACCTCTATAAAGCAATAAGAGCAAAAGATTCCAAAACTCCCTTAAATATACAGCAAAAGGAAACATCTCTAGTTCGCTATTCACGTCGAAGTCCTCCACATTTCTCCTCTAAACTACAAATTTCAAGTTTCTCCTCTAAAGTACAAAATTCAAGTCCGAGATCAAGAGAATCAAGAAAACCTCAAAACTACTCCGATCATCTCCATCGACTTCAAGATCGCGCGATCTCTTGCAAGAATTAGAGAGATCCTAATGAAGCGACATCGTAGAGAGAGAGAAGAGTAAGAGAACTTGCCTTTGAGCAGCAGAGTAACAGTAGAACACAGAAGGGAACGAATCCTCTCGAATCGATCGCCATTTTCCCGCCAAAAGACGATTTAGCGAGCGCGAGGGCGACGAAGGAGGAAGAAGGGCGGGCGAGCGAGATCGCGGGAAAAAAGAGAGCCGGTCGGCTCTATTTATAGACGATTCCGTGCTGATCGGAGTTGAAGGAAGCTGTTCCGGTGGGGCCCAGCTGAGTTCGCCGTCGAGTTTAAGGGCTGTCGTTGATGGACGATTAAAGATTGAACTGATTAATCGGACTGTTCACGAGGGGATTTGGACACGTGGCGGAGGAGGAAAGGGCTGGATGGGAGCTTGATCTGATCTTGGGCGCGCATCGCAATTCGAATAATTGGTCAACTTGTCAACCCTTATTGTACGATTGAAACAGAGGGTGCAGGTACAATACGATCAGGAGGAGTAACGGAGCGTATCCAGAACGTATTCTTCACCTTTGTTTTTGTTTTGTATTTTCACTTTTATACTTATCAACATTTTTTCCATTTCTGAAAATATTGATTTTTCATTTCAACTTTTTCAATATATTTAATTATGTATATCAAACCATTGTGATTGCTAACTTCTTTCTCAATTTTATTGTCTTTATTCTTTTTTTTCTTGACCAATTGCTTACTCATCCTATCAAATTTTCTTCCTTTAATTTACCACTAAATTAATTGAAAGAGAATCTACTAGATTGAGGATAAATTGGTGTAACAAAACAAACTTGTTGGGAAATTAGTAATTACAACTATTTATGGAGCAATAATTGACCAAGAATGAGAGACATCGTGTCTTTGACCGAGTATCCAACAGAAACCCAATTTTGTGTTGATCAAATGTTAAATACTCGTATCTCTCATAACCAATTACAACTAAAATCGCAAGGAGAAAAACTCATACCATCTTTTGACTCTTGCCTAGCCCTCTTCATCATAGTTGATTAACAATAGATTTGAATTATTAGATACCAAATCACAAGGTGTTTGTGCATTATGCTGATGATGGGATGATAATGGTGATGGTAGCAAGAGCAGGTACATTGAGAGTATGAAGGTGACGGAGGTAGTCATGGCGGCGATTGTGTTGGCGCTCTTCTAAGGGAGGGTTTAGGTAGTGGAATAGGGGGATAGTTATGTTAAGAAACAGGGAAAATTGTGTCAATGCCTCAAAAGCAATATCTTCATGTGCTGTAGCCCCTTCACTTTTCCCCCGTGTGGTTCAGCCCCAAGAAGTGTAACATTTTGTGCTGCAGCATTCTTTTAACAATTATTACCCGCCAACTTAGCATAGAGAGCATAAAAAGTACAAAACTCCTAAATGCCCTTATCTACTCTGTTCTTCCATGTTAAGTCTAATTTAATTCCTTTTAAGTCTAATTTAAATTCAGTTATGTCTAATTCAACTTGTTTCAAGTCTAATTTAATTCATGTTAAGTCTAATTTCCTTTTAAGTCCAATTTAATTCATATTAAGTCTAATTTAATTCCTTTTAAGTCTAATTTAAATCATGTTATGTCTAATTCAACTTGTTTTATGTCTAATTTAATTGGACTTAACATGAAATTAGACTTAAAAAAAGTTGAATTATACTTAACATGATTTAATTTAGACTTAAAATGAATTTAACATGATTAAAAGTAGACTTAAAATTTCGTGTTAGGTCTAATAAAAGTTCGTGTTAAATCTAATTTCATGTTAGGTCTAATAAAAATTCGTGTTAAATCTAATTTCATAATAGGTCTAATGAAAGTTCTTGTTAGATCTAATAAAAGTTCGTGTTAGGTCTAATAAAAGTTTATGTTAGGTCTAATTGGAGTTCATATTAGTTCTATTTCGTGTTCGTGTTAGTTTTAACTCATGTTAGGTCTAATTGGTGTTCATGTTAGTTCTATTTTGTGATCATGTTAGTTCTAACTCACAGTTCGTGTTAGTTCTAATTCATGAATTAGAACTAGCACGAACTGAGTTAGAACTAACACAAACACGAAATAAAACTAATATGAACTGAGTTAGAACTAACACGAACACGAAATAGAACTAAAATGAACACCAATTACCTAAAATTTCATGTTAGGTCTAACAAAAGTTCGTGTTAAGTCTAATTTCATGTTAGGTGTAATAAAAGTTCTTGTTAGGTATAATAAAAGTTCGTGTTAAGTCTAAGTTCATGTTAGGTCTAATAAAAGTTCGTGTTAGGTCTAATTAGAGTGCATGTTAGTTCTACTTCGTGTTCGTGTTAGTTCTAACTCATGTTAGGTCTAATTGGTGTTCATGTTAGTTATATTTCGTGTCAAAATGTTAGTTCTAACTCAGTTCATGTTAATTCTAATTCATGAACTAGAACTAATACGAACTGAATTAGAACTAACAAAAACTAAGTTAGAACTAACACGAACATAAAATCGAACTAACATGAACACCAATTAGACCTAAAATTTTGTGTTAGGAGACATGGGGACCTAAAGAAAATTTAAGCAAAAAAAAGGCAGAAGAAGACGACAAACTAAGAACAAGACCAAAGAAGAAAGAGATAAATAAATAAATAAATAAAAATTGGGGAGAAGGTGCTGGCATCCTCAGACACACAAACATGGAAAGAAAAAAAAGAAAAAACCCCATAAAAGAAAAAGTGGACGAAAATAAAAAGGACGAAAAGAAGAAAAGGACAAAGAAGAATAAGACGAGGAGAAAAAGATAAAAAAATCTAAAAATCAAAAGAGGGCAGAGGGCAGCCTTAGGCGAACGAAAAAAAAAACATCAGAGAACAAGAGAACACACGAAAAAAAGAAGAAAAATTCATGTTAGTTCTAACTCAGTTCGTGTTAGTTCTAGCTTAGTTCGTGTTAGTTCTAACTTAGTTCCTGTTAGTTCTAATTCATAAAATAGAATTAACATGAACTGAGTTAGAAGTAATACGGACACGAAATAGAACTAACATGAATTAGAACTAATATGAGTTAGAACTAATACAAACACAAAATAGAACTAACATAAACTCCAATTAGACCTAACACGAACTTTTATTAGACCTAACATGAACTTTTATTAGACCTAATATGAAATTAGACCTAACACGAACTTTTATTAGACCTAACATAAAATTAGACTTAACACGAACGTTTATTAGAACTAACACAAACTTTTATTAGACCTAACGTGAAATTAGACTTAACACGAATTTTTATTAGACCTAACATGAAATTAGACTTAACACAAACTTTTATTAGACCAAACACAAAATTTTAAGTCTAAATGCAATCATGTTAAATTCCTTTTAAGTCTAATTTAAATTATGTTAAGTGTAGTTTAAAATTTTAAGTCTAATTTCATGTTAAGTCTAATTAAATTAGACTTAAAATAAGTTGAATTAGACATAACATAATTTAAATTAGACTTAAAAAGAATTAAATTAGTTCTAATAGAAGTTCGCGTTAGTTCTAATTGGAGTTCATGTTAGTTCTAATAAGAGTGTTTGTTCTAAATAGACCTAACATGAAAGAGATAATGATATTTTGGGGTTTTGTACTTTTTATTCTCTTTCTATGCTTAGTTGGCTGATAATAATTGCTAAAAGAGGACTGCAGCACAAAATGTTACACTTCTTGGGGCTGAACCACATGGGGAAAAAGTGAAGGGGCTACATCACATGCATATATTGCTTTCTGGGTTATTGACACAATTTTTCCTAAGAAATAAGAAGAAGAGATGACCCGTTAATCCGTTATATTGACTAAAATGCACTAGATTCACCATAAATGCCAACCAATTCATTGAACATCTGAGCTTGCCAAAGTAGTTGCCCTTAAAAATTGTTTCATTTTGGGTCCTCCTAGCACTACTTAAAATACAATAGAATATTCCTCCATTTCTCATTAATATTTTTTTAAAAAAATTGAGTTTATCACTTTTCTATTTATTTTTTGGGAAAAATTAGAGGGTTTTTGTGGGAAAATAAAGTTCAGGAAGGTTTAGGGTCTGTTTGGTTCATTTCCTTAAAAAAAAAAAAGAAAACACAAAACCATTTCAGTATATTTCAAAGGGTTTCTCATTATTGATTTTTTTGGTTTGCTTCGCCTTAAAATCATAGGCTGTAAAGCATTGTTTCCCATTTTTTTGGTTTGTTCAACATGCAAAAATTAAGAAATCTGATAAGCATTCTTCATTTCTTCAACTTCCTATGTTTGGTAGGAAATAAAAAATAATGAGAAATGTTGTTTAAGATCACCAAGGTGAGCTTACCACTCACAAAAGATAACAAAGTTTTTATAATACCAACATAATTTTGAATTGATGAACCTAATGGTTATGTATGGGCAATGGTAAAAAAAGAGCAACCAACAGTATAAGTTGCATATATATAAGCATTGTAGCATGAGTAACTATCTTCAACTCAAATTTTATTTTGTTTTGTAGAGATTTCATTATCTGAGCAAAACTTTCATCCCAAGGGTGTCAATCTCAAGCATATCTGAGATTTGCTTTCATCCCAAGGGTCTCAATCTCAAGCAACCAAGGTCACTTGCTTTTGTAAATTACCAACACCATTAAAGCTCTGCAAAAGTGGATTGAACAAGGGAAGATACTTTTAGGACTACGCCAAATACCCAAATGGGCAATGCAAATTTTTTGATTGGGCTGAAGTGAGCATGATATTAAAATAGGCAAAACAAAAAAAGATGAAGCTTCTATTCAAGTTTTTCCAGATAAAAAAGATATGCAGACTGTAGGGTCGAAAAATTAAAGTTTGATTAATTTCTTATTTTAAGAATGGGTTCGATCACTTAGTATGAATCCCTTACAATCTCTCTCTCTCTCTCTCTCTCTCTCGATTACCGAGGAAAAAAGATTAATTTGACTTCTCTTTTGTTTAAAAGTGGGTTCTTGGTAGCGAAATGATACTTCTCTTGATGCTGAAGCCGAGATTGCTTCCCGTTGACAATTAGAGCAAGATCACAAAAGCTTCTGACCGTAGCTTAGATCACGAGAATGCAGACACTAAACTCTCTTCACGCGATCGCCAAAAAAATCTTCCCAAAAGTCCCTTCTTCATAGCTGCTCATGGCTATTTTAGAGTTTCAGCATGTAACCGACGTGCAAAAATTATAGGTAGAGGGCGTAACTAC